CCCCAAAACCCCCAAAACCCCAAAACCCCTTTTGGCGAAATTCTAAATAAAATTGGCAAATAAATTAATAAGAATTAATTAGTTTACGATGAATAGTTTTTGCTTCCCATTTCGGTTTATTAGGGAGAGATTAGACAAGAACAGTTGTGAAAATTAATTTATTTCATAATTTAAAAATTATACTATAATCTTTTACCAATACTAAAAAGGAATAATAACTGATTGTACATATGAACAACTTTATCATCATCGACAAAATAGGTAAGGATTCTCATTCCTTCTCGTCTCTCAGCATTCTGAAATCTTAATAGGTTCTGGCTCGTTCTCGGACGTGTTCAAAGTCAAGAGAATTTCTGATAACTAAATATATGCGTTAAAAAAAGTAAGTAAAAAAATACTCTCACGGGTGAAATCTAGATCTTATTAACCTATTTTGTCAGGTGAAACTAAGTAAATTATCTGATAAGGAAAAGGAGAATGCTCTGAATGAGGTCAGAATCCTTGCATCCATACAGTAAGCTCAATTATTGAAAAGTTAAACCATTGATTATAGAAATGAAAACGTGGTTTCATACAAAGAAGCCTTCTTTGAGGAGTAATCTTAAAGTCTCTGCATTATAATGGAGTATGCTGACAATGGAGACCTTCAATCAAAGATTGAGACTCAGAAGAAGCAGGGACAATTCTTGTAAGAGGAAGAGATCTGGAGGATCTTAATTGATCTTATCAAGGGTCTTGTTACTCTTCACAGCTTGAAGATCGTTCACAGAGACATCAAGTGTGCCAATGTTTTCATTGGTAAAGATGGTACAGCCAAACTTGGGGACTTGAATGTTAGTAAGATTGCCAAGCTGGGAATGATGCAAACTCAGACTGGTACACCTTATTATGCAAGCCCAGAGGTATGGAATGACTAGCCATACGATGCTAGATGCGACATTTGGTCTCTTGGTTGTGTGATTTACGAGTTAGCAGCTTTAAATCCACCTTTTCAAGCCAAAGACATGAATGGCTTGTACCAAAGAGTAAACAAGGGAATCTATCCCAGTCTACCAAAACTTTACTCAAAGGATTTGAACAAACTTATAGGCCAACTCCTTACAGTTGATCCTATATATAGACCATCTGCATTAGATGTCATGAAGCTTAAACCAATGCTTATTAGGACTGAGACTGCCAAACTAGGAGCCTTGAATCACTAATAAGTATCAGTGAATCATCAATTTAGCCCACATGCTGAACTATTAAGTACCATTAGGCTACCCAAGAACTTAAAGTAACTTACAGAGAGACTGCCTAAGAGTAACTATGAGGAAAACAGATAAAAGTCTCATGAAATAAGAATAAGAAACAAATCAATGAGAACTTCAGGCTAAATTCCAGAGGATGGAAGCTGCTTCTCGACTGATTCAAGCGACAGGGAACAAAAGTACTTAAGTAATTAAAAGCCTTCTACTAAAACTGAATCTCCATTAAGAAAAGCAAATTCTCTCTAAGTTTAGAGGTCTTAGTAAAAGCAAAAAAGCCAAAGACAATCGAGACTTGATCACAATGAAAGAGTGTCAGTTGGTTCAAACAGAGCTCACAATGAATCCTTGCCTTCCATAGTTTCTCAGCCTTAATCTGTGTCTAGAAACCCAAACACTGACTCCATTAATAACCATATCAGAAGGATAAGAGAAAAATCTGCGAAGTTACTGATATAAAGAAATAGAAAACTTAACCTTCAAAGTTAATTAAGAATCAAGGAAATTGATAGATAATCATAGATCATAGAGAAATCAGAGATGATCAAGATTGATAGTGACCAAGACAACATTTTGAGTGAGGGCAACAATAACAATTAGATTAACTATCTCGGTAGCTTACCAAATATTTCTTAAAACTCAAGGTCCATTATCTAGAATACTCCATCTCATATTAAGATCTCTGCTTCTCAACAGTAGAGAACAAGACTCCAGAACTAGATTGACTCGCTTCATTTGTTGCGACAAAAACAGGTCTAGCTCAGCAGATAGTAAGCCTAACAGAACAATGGAAGTAACAGCGTCAAAAACTAGTATTTATCTAATGATAAGGAAAAGAAGGTTTTACCATCAATTGAAATCGAACCTCATGAATAATAACCACCTCTTAGTTATAGATATTAGGAGAGAACAAGCATATAAAACAATCTGAGAGAGAAGTTAATAAAGAAGTATCAAGAACAATAAATTATTCAAAACAATATTCTCACAAGTGTCCCCACAAGCGGCGGTTCTATTGAGAGACAACTTAATCTATTGAATATCCATAACAATAATCTACCTGTAAATAAACAACTTCCTAGAAAAGCACATCCTGTTGTTAACATGAAGCTCTTACACATGCCCATCTAAAATATAGAGAAGAAGCGCCTTAGAAGCATCAATCAATAAGATTATGCTACAGAGGAGCCTCAACCCTCTTGGTGGGAGTGATTTTCTGAGTTTTAATGCTCGCATCAGAAAATGCTTGCTGAAACACAATATGCACATATAAGTTTGACAATTTTATATACTTTAATATTTATTAAAAAATTAAAAGAATAATTGCTATTCTCATTTTTTGGGGTTTTGGGGTTTTGGGG